GCTACAATGCGATGTTTAAGGTGACTTGTACAATGCGATGTGAAAAGTGACTTGCTACAATGCGATGTTTAATGTGAATTGCTACAATACGATGTGAAGAGTGACTTGCTACAATGCGATGTTCCAAGTGACTTGTTACAATGCGATGTGAAAAGTGACTTGCTACAATGCGCTGTGAAAAGTGACTTGCTACGATACGATGTGAAAACTGACTTGCTACAATGCGATGTGGAAAGTGACTAGCTACTTACATTTAATACAGTTTATATTGCTTTTGGAGTTGACAGCCATTGTTTTCAACTATATTATTATATATATAAAACAGAAAATTTACTTAGAGGGTTCTAATAAATCATGAAGTCGAATCTTAATACGCATAATACCGGACATAGCCGTCTGTCGAGTCCATGTAGACCTCGCGCACTTGACGATCCACCATGCGGTCGTGAAGTTCTTGATTGGTTAAACCATTTTCACCCGGATATTGGAAGATCCAGAACGGCTTCGGACCGTATGGGAGCGAGCCATAAACATCGATATCCCATGGGTACCAGTTAAATAGCGATTCCACAATATATGCATCAAACTCGTCGATAATCGTTGGTTCATTAACATAGTAACTCGGATTCTTTAGAGCTACCTTCATGTCTATACTGTGTGCAAAGTCCACAATATTTTGCATATACTCGACGTATCGAGGGTCTATACGATCAGCATCATAGTATGCTTTAGCTTGCGCGTCATTCTCTGTTACAGCTGTGGATGGTTTTGCATTATCCGAGCTAATCGCCGTAAAGTTAAGTGCCTTGTAGCTCGTAATTATGTCCTTCATAATCGGAAGAATTTTGTCGTTCAAATCGTCAGGATTGAACCAATAGTCCCCCCAGAGTTCCCCTTCTGAATTTACATCCAAATTCTGTTGCCACTGGTAGTTGAGCAACCTTGGATCCGGTGCATATAATGGATTAACAGTTGCCACACTCAGGTAAGCCATGAGTTCACCAGTGGGGTTTGCACGTTGCGCATCTACGCGAGGGTCTGGTATCAAGGGATCTGCGAACAGTACATCTGCACCAGTGCAGTCTGTGTTCGCCTGCATTCCAGAATTAGACCATGCTAAATTGCATATTTGTGATGACGACGAGTCCCTGCGTACAATTGCAGCAGGCGCTGCTATCGCGGCAGAAGCCAACAAGGCGGTGTATGCAATACTTGTTATTATTGACATTGTTAGAATAAATATATACGTGACTGACCAGACCATTATATATCAATTTCTGTATCACGACTTTTAAAAAAATTCGCTTTTTTCGCTTTATCATGTGTCAGTTTTCACAATTCACATATTGTTGTCATTTTGTTCACAACTTCACAGAGACATGTCTTTTGAGGTTTGACACATTTCGTCGTTTTATGATAAAAATAAAATAACAAATTACTAAATTAGTATTGCTTTACTATTGCAAATTGCAAGTAATTATGATTTAAAAAAATTGATTGGAGTTCAGCTCTTTTGAACAGCCGCCTTTAGGCGACTATCCGGACAACGCCGCGATGGAGTCTTTGAGTATTTGATGAGAGTTATTCAGGCCTCGTAGGGCAGACTGCCGAGGCTCCGAGCATATTTTTTGTTATCCATAGGCCAGAGCCATGATGTTTGGTAAATATAAATAAATATATATATATGTTTTATATTTAGATTTTAGAGACATCATATATTTATTTAGACTTTAAGAGTTTGTATGTAGTCTCTTCACTCTTTTAACGCTTCAGTCATCAACTCATTATATTATCTCATATGTATGTACTATGTAGCAGTAGCACTGAAAGCAGGCGCCTCACGGGCTTTTATAGATGACCTCGGACTTTTAAAAACTTGAAGCCGCAAGCAGGAGTTCGTAGGTTTCGTTACGTTATTGCTGATCAGAATAAACGTGCCACGTTTTATAAAAAAATCTTGAAGCCGCAGGAAGAACATAATAATATTGGCCTGGGAGACCTTTATATATACATATGTCGCCCAGTAGACGAAACGCTGAACGTTTAGTGCTATGCATTTCAAAAAAAACTTAAAACGTTTCATTTGACGCTGTCTGATATCTCTATTTAATTCTATGTATGTATATATAATCTCTCTCTCTTTCTCTCTCTCTACGGCATTGTAGCTGAAAAGCCTGAAACTATAAACGTTGCACCATACTATGTACGGAATCTCTTCTTTAAGAAATAGTAGTTGTTGTGTTAAAAAAAGAAAGATGAAATAAAGGAATAGTACTTTTATTTTTATAAATGTTTTTTCTTAATTGGAAAAATAATAATACATAGGCTATTTTCATAGCCTACATAAAACAATTTTTGGATATTTTTATGTTTTTTTTTTTCAATACATACAAGTGTACAATTTAAGCTATGATACAAGATGTATTATTTTTATTTTGTTAAAAAAATAACAAACAAAAGGTATAAACGTACTCTCTCTAGAGTCGCTCTGTATTTGGATGAATATTCTGAGTCAGAGACAAGAGCTCAGCTCATAACGTTATGGGGGTACGGGATAGAAGTTTAACGTAAATGCATATTTATTCAATTTTAAAACGTTATAACGACTATAATGTGATCAGAACAGTCTACTTAAGTTCTTGTATAGGACTGGTTCTTATCGTGAACATGATGCATACTTCATTGTTTAGACCCGCAAGCTGCATTTATGAGCATACAAAGGACCGCACATGAAATTAAAGTTGAACATACAATTATATTTATTCGAATTATAAAGGTTTTAACGGAAAACGATTTGGGGTTAGGACAAGAGTAGTGAAAATAGTAAGCACCCAGTCAGCAAGTCTGGCAAGTGGCAACAGTCAACCAACAGTGCACTGTATTTGCATTGTGCAACACTGCACACTGCACAGTGCACACTGCACACTGCACACACATGACACAACAAACACACAGCAAGAGAGAAGATATTTATTTATGTACACCAGAAGAAGAAGAGTCTGCACAACAAGAAGGGGGCCGCCAACACAAAAGACTGCAACTCTGCAAGCCTGCAACAGTAAATACATAGCCTTTCTAAAAATCAGACAAGTGCAATATGCGTCGCTCACTCGCTGTCCGACCTGTCGCCTTTAGTTTCTCTAAACACGTGTAGACGTTTAGAGTTTTAGACGCGTATGTAAATACTCTCGTAAAGTCATATTTCGCTCCATCATGAGTAGAAAATATTTATTTATTTTAACAAAACAAGGCATTAGGATATTATACTTTATAGTTACATATGTATTTAAATCAAAAGACCGGAAAATTCTGCGCGAAAACGAGCCAAGAAACACAATGATCGGACAATCGACACCGAAATGGTAGATGTTTGAAGTTGCAACTTCTATAGTATGAAGTTGTAACTTCTATAGTAGGCGTGTACATAAACTCACAATTGTGCTAGCATAGTAGTTGCAAAGCCATTATGGTACGCACCGTTTTAGGCTTAACGCACCCTCAGCGAGAGGAGGATAACCGCCCACAACATACACAGGATGTACATGTTGATAGTTATAGTGAAAGTCATTCACTAGATGCATGCGATTCACTAGATGCACGCAATGAAAGTTGTTGTTCACGATTCCACAAAGATGAATACTTCAAGGGCGAGTTGGTAGGCGTTAGGGAACAGACGCAAGTCTATTACCAACGGCAGTGCTAATGTTAGTAGCGATGGTGACTCTTCTGACGACGAGTGCAACAGACGTACTAGTGGTAGTACTAGTGTTAGTGATGGTAGTTCCTCTGATGACGATGAGCGCTAGTAAGCTATGTCAAGGACCATGGGTTTACCTGGTTGCCGTGGTCTCTACGGGGCGGGGTGGGGCCTCGTAGACAAGTGAACAGTATTAATAAAATCCTGAACTCAAATCATACTAGCCCTTTTTGAAATAAACTTTTATTGAATGAAATATTCATAAAAAATCCGTTTGTACTTTTGAAATATTGGGGGGAGTGCAAGTCTGGAGTTGTATCTGTATTGACAGTTTCTATCCTGATGATTTACCTTGTAGATCTAAAATATAAATTTTATTCCTGAAAAAAAAACTAAATAATTCATCGCAGTCCTTACTTTTGATGAATAAGCTAACTAATAAAATCGGGATTTGTGAATGTAACGAGTCGTCACATTTCATTTTGAATTTTTTTATTTTTGTATTAGCTCTAGTACAAACTATTTTTGAAAACAAATACTTACCGGGTGCATTTTGGTAAAATGTGACGACTCGTCACATTTTGTTTTGCGCTAGTGATATCATAGTCCAATTTCGAACATATGTAGCAGGCGACTCACGCTAGCGAGCGGCCAGGGCCCAGGCGGCAGGCAAGCAGGCTCTCGCTCTAGTCTCTATTCTCGCTACTACTCTACTACTACTACTATTTAGTAGTAGTAGAGAGAGAGGAGAGAGAGAGAGGAGAGAGAGAGAGTGACTCTCTACTCTCTCTCTCTCTGTAGTAGAGTAAAGTAGAGTACAGTAGAGCCTGGTCAGCCTACCATACTACTACTCGCCCTGGGCCAGAGTCTCAAACTCATCAGTTGTGTCAGACATTTAACCTGGCGCCGGACCAGTGCTTGTCGCCTGGCAATTGCCTTCTAAATTGAACAACCTGGCGGCTGGCAGTGGTAGCCTGGTAGGTTTTTCGTGTTTTGATTACAGTATATAATCAGCCGGAACTCAAATAGGATGAAAGGAAGTGGTGGGGACTTGGTCCTCTCTAGAGAGAGTAGGGAGCGAAGACAATGGCCTGGGGGACTGGGGCGTACGTGTCACAAATTCACAGGGCTATAAATCAAACATTTTATTTAACATCATCTGTCCATGACCCTCTAGAAAGAGAAGAATACTTTTAAGATCAACAAAATATAGGGGATCGAACTAACTGGCCATCAAGATGGCCGTGATCTGTCTGCATGGCTGCTGAAAAGAAACACCCAACTCATTGAACTCAGAAAATAGCATCTGTATACATTCCAGGAATTGGACAAGAATGGTACACATGAAAAGGCTTAGCTTCTGGCACAGTCTTGTATTTGTCAGGTAACAGAAGGTATGAAATGGCTATATTCAAAACGTTACAATTTAATTTTACAAAATGCTTCGGAAACAACAGTACCAAGTGCACAAACCAGACAACAGCATGTTCTGTATACAATCAAACCACACATCTATGTATTTGATATCGGAATATTGAAATTCGATTATATTTCTACTTGTACTAACACGATACGAAAATAGGAATATAAAAAAACATTCATGTTGCTCATTGATATCTTCTTAGATATCTGTAGAACCGTATACATTTACATATTACATATACATACAAAATAGATATATACATTTACATATACATTGTAAGCGAATATATAACTTTTGCTGTCTATGCATGGTTGCGCAAGCATTTCTCACCAGACACAGATATTAGATAACAACTATGTTTTATTTGTGTAGGGCATAAACTTTCAAACAGTATAGCATGCATCGCGATCCACGGCTTCATGCTCCGTGTCGGATCTTGTATATGGACTCATATGGACGACGTTTTGTAGATCATGAGCTCTTCCTAAAACGCGTAATACGAGACGTAGCCGTCCTCCGAGTCCAAGTAGACCTTGCTCAAGTTTCGTTCTACCATTCTGTCGTGCAATTCTTGATTTGTTAGACCATTAACACCTGGATATTGAAAGATCCAGAATGGCTTTGGGCCATATGGTAGCGAGCCATATACATCGATATCCCAGGGATACCAGTTAAATAGTGATTCCACAAGGTAAGCATCAAATTCGTCGATAACCGTTGGTTCGTTCACATAGTAACTCGGATTCTTCAGAGCCACCTCCATGTCTAAACTGTGCGCGAAATCGATGATATTTTTCAAATACTCGACGTATCGAGGGTCTATACGTTCAGTATCAGCGTAAGCTTTCGCTTGCGCGTCATTCTCCGTTACAGCTGTAGATGGTTTTGCATTATCTGTGCTTATCGCCGTATAATTAAGTGCCCTGTAACTTGAAATTATATCCTTCATAATCGGAAGAATGTGGTCGTTCAAATCATCAGGGTTGAACCAAAAGTCTCCCCATAATTCCCCTTCAGAATTCTTATCCAAATTCTGTTGCCACTGGTAGTCGAGCAACCTTGGATCCGGTGCATATAGTGGATTCACAGTTCCCACACTTAGATACGCCATAATCTCACCGGTTGTTCCATTTGCACGTTGCCCATCTACACGAGGGTCTGGTATCAAGGGATCTGAAAAAAGTACAACTGCACCTGTACAGTCTGTTTTCGCCTGCATTCCTGAATTAGACCATGCTAAATTGCATATCGGTGCTGCAGCCGAGTCCCTGCGTACATTCCCTACTGGCGATGCTAAAGCAGCAGAAGCTATCAGAGCAGTTAATGCGATATTTGTTGTTAACGTCATTGTATGGAACAATTGGAAGTTTGGCTTTTTAAAAAAGATGAATACTGAGTTTCGTTTGACACATTCTAGGCCATTTTATACCAACCGATTTCAGAATACAATCAGCTTCTTGTTGTGAACTCTTGTGATGCGTGTCAAAGAGGGTAAGCCGGACGAGGGAAGGAGTGGAGTGTGGACCATAGACATAAGTCTATCCACAAGGAGTAATGCCGCAGCCACATGAAGTTATCAGGCAGCCACCTGCCGCACGCACTCTGCCATTCTGCCGTCTGCACCTTCTGCTGGCAAATTGGCGCAGTTCGCAGTGCAAGCTCACACTCTTGGCTAACGGACACAAAGTCACAGACCCTCTCTCTTCCCCTAGAGTAGTAGGGCCTGGGCCCTCTAGGCCCTGGGAGGCTGAGGTCTGGGCCTTAGGCCCTGGGAGGCTGGGGTCTGGGCTGGCCTGTACAGTATAATTACAATACATATTTGTAGGTCTAATTTGAAGGCTATATTTTTCTTTTCGTTTTTGTAGTTAAGTATGTACACATGTATTATTGTTTGGCTATTTTCTTTTTTTGTCCATATTTTGGCTATTATCTTTTCAAAAACGACCTTCTTGGAGCGTCCGCCAATCGCCATAGCCGTCTCAGGTAAATGGGGACGTGGCGCCGTGGGGCGTGGGCGTGGAACAGAGATAGGCCTTAGGTAGGCTTAGAAGTCACGAGTCGCTCTCTCTATAGAGAGTAAGAGTAGAGAATGGAAGAAAGAGTTTTAAAAAACTAAAAACTAGTACTGTATGTGTATTCGAGTATGTAGTACTGTAGTAGTAGAGAAAGGGACATAGTTTTTAATAATAATAAAAGTATTTATCTGAGAACGTCTCAGAGTCAGTCAATTGATGAGCAATGAGTGAGATTGAGTTATCAGTTCATCACTGATCACTGATCAGTCAGCAGGCCCGGCCGACGGCTTCAATGCGTAAAACGTAAACACGCTTTCGATTTTGAAATCATAATATTTCCAACTACATACTGCGATTCCATTTGTAACCCCGTACGTATTGACCCAAGCCAACTATTTTTTTTTAAATAAGTTGACCTTTAAAAAAATTCGACGTTTTTGTTTTTAAAAAAGAGAAAAAAACAAAACAAACCCTTCCGGCAAGACTCAGGCCACTGGCGTCCGCCACCGCTGTTTTAGCGTTCTAGCGCTTCGGTCCTTCAGAGTTCAGTCTTTGGCATTTAATATTTTTATCGTGTGTTTGTGTTAATTACTCTATTTTACTCTCGTTTTGGATAATTTGCAAGGCCTCGATAACTCCGTTCTAAAGCTTCCTGTAATGAGTTGTTTTAAATAAAAAAACGACAGTGACACACACAGTCACACACAGTCATACACAGTCACAAACTCTCAGTCTCTCACACAGTCACACAGCCACACAGTCACACAGTCACACACACTCAGTCACTCGCCCAAAATGAACCATAGAAACATTTGTTAAAAAATCCTATTTTTCGGAGTACAATATGGAGTAGTTATTATAGTTCAGTCTTTGGCATTTATTATTTTTATCGTGTGTTTGCGTTAATTACTCTATTTTATTCTCGTTTTGGATAATTTGCAAGGCCTCGATAACTCCGTTCTAAAGCTTCCTGTAATGAGTTGTTTTAAATAAAAAAACGACAGTGACACACACAGTCACACAGTCACACAGTCACACACACTCAGTCACACGCACAAAATGAACCATAGAAACATTTGTTAAAAAATCACATTTTTCGGAGTACAATATGGAGTAGTTATTTAACTATTGTTGGCTTTGCAACAAACTTGCAATATTTATTTTAAGGGGTTTTCAAAAATTCAGATAGGCATCTGATTTCATAGAGTATTTAGTAAAAGTAAATATGTAGTCGTCAGTCTGTGTATTCTCTCCGACTACATTGTTTTTTTTTTAAATAAATAAATACAATTTAAAAGAAATTGGGGTTTGTTTTTGTTCTTTATATTTATTTTGTTTTTATTTTGTTTTTCTAAATACATAGTTGTTATTTTTTTGGTTTGTTTTTTCATTAAATAAAAACAGTTCTGTATATACTTTTACAGTTTTGCATAGCCTAAATGTCAACTATATAAAAAACAAAAACAAAAACAACAACGAATATTCCTGCAATTTCAATTTAGAGGGCTATGCAAAAAATTGTAAAAATACGGACACTGCCTGTTGCCAGTCTGACTGTCTGTCACTACTGAGTCTACTCTACAGTCTCTACTCTACTATTATATATTTACATAGACTCATAGGACATAGAGAGAGCTGTCAAACAACAACAAAACAGTTTCATGGCCCTCTCTGGGGAAATTGGTCTCAAGTCTAGACTCTCCGCTCGACTCTCGAGCGAAAATCAATCTATATATGTAAATACTTCGACAATTTAATGAATACCACCCAACGGCCAGCGCAGAGGGGCCAAGTGGGCAAGCAGTAGGTATAGCACTACAGCAATGCACCGGCAGACGGCAGTCCTGCAGACTCCTGCTGTTACTTGTCAATGGCTCAGTGCTGTGACCGGCTGTCCGGCTCTGGCCATCCTCTCCACACGAGGTTCGGAATTGGAATCTGGACAGATTGTAATCTAGTAGCATGTCAGAGAAACAATTCATAGTTTTGCACTCCCAGAGTCAGCAGAGTGACGAGAGTGAGACTTCACGAGAGTCGAGAGTCACTCGAGAAAGCATAATATTGACCCCAAATGGCTTGTACCAAATACCAATATCTCAGTGTCATTTCAATGAAGTGTTTCATCTTTATCTATCTCGGTCTCTAATCTCAATGTATGTATAGAGTATCAGAGAGATAGACAGAGTGTGTGTGTGACTGTGTGTGTGTGTTGTGTGGGTAATCTCCCGAGGCAGTTTTATCAACAGGATTGTCCCGCAGTATAGCGACAGGATCTCACGGTTCTCTCTGTAGTGATCATAATCTGTAGAGATCATACTTCGGGTCGACATTTGTAAACAGACAGGTTCGGGTTCCTCAGATTTTCAATCAGATTCTATGCTAATAATGCTTCGATTTCTTCCTCTCTGGTGTACCACCATCCCTCATATCTCGTTTTCCACTGTGTGATCCAACTCCCGAGGACCGACGAGACGTATTGTTACTGTTATTTGCATTCCCTCTATCATTCTGGTTGGTATTGTGCGTACGTCCATTCGTATTGCCCTCCCCCAGATGTCCCCGAGATTGCACGGGGCTACCTACATTACTACCACTGCCTTTTCCCTGTGGTTGGAATCTATTTTGTCTTTGTTGCATAACATCTGACAATTGTCGCTGCACCAATCCAGGTCCTCCAGACCCGCCCCCTGCAGCATTGCGCATGCGACCATTTGGTGTCTGTGCGTTAGATCTGCTGTTACTTTTCTGTTGAGTCTGATTTGCTTCAGTATCAACCTCTCCACTGCCGCTGTCTGTGCTATGTTTAACCCCTGCGTATGTGTCTCGTGCAGTAATTGATGCTTGTCGAACACCAATGCTCTCTGCCTTGCGGATGTGCGACTTTGGTGGTGCCTTTGTCGCATCTGATTTGGAACTCGAGTTCATACTCGAGATACCAGTGCCATGTTGCATAGACACGGAATTTCCACTATTTGCACGGTTTCCAACGGACTGTGATCTGTCATGATTGTCGTATTTGTCCGATTTCTCTCCTGTACTTTCACCTCCGAGCGAAGCACAACTAGACGTCCGGCCTGTAGAACCTAATTTGTGATTAGAATCGCTCGCAGATGTGATGGTGGTTTGACTTGGACTGCTTCTAACCCTCTCTGTGGCCTTCACTTTCGTCCTAATGTTCTTCGCGCCCTGACTTTGGACCACGCCTATACTATCATCATTGGCACCATTCCTACCCAATCCCTTACTATTAAAAGTAGATCCATCACCATCCTTTGTCTTCCCTATTGTGTTGTCACTCGAATACCTATCGCTAGACGCCCGCCTCGAAGCTGGTCGCGAACTTGGTCTCGAAGTAGGGCGTGAGTCGCTTGCATTGGTTCTTCTGTCCTTCGACTTCTCCCGATCACTTTCCTTGCTACGTTTATAGTCGCTGTCCTTAGCTCGAATTTCAGCATCTTTATAAAGGTCATCGGTTCCTTTGATAGATTTTCTTCGCGCCTCCCCATTATCCGCTTTAAGTTTTTTTGCGTCACTCTCACTGCGCATCGTACTGTTCGAATCTATCCTATTGCTGTCTGCCTTGCGCTTTGTACCAGAGGTTGTGTTTGTGTTAGCTGATACAGGTTTCTTAGTATACTCGCTGATAGTAGTTTTTGACTGACCGCCACCATACTGACTATTGCTGCTTTCCTCGCCGCTTTCAATCGAAGACTCTCTCTTAATAGCACCAGACGACCTTCTACTAACCAGTGTATCTGGCCCTGGCCCAGCCTTGCCTGTATCGGTCTCCTTTTTGAGATTTTCATCGGCATTCTCAAGTTTCGCGATTTCTGCCTCCTCTTTGAGCTTAGCCTTAGCTTCGTCCTTCTTAGCCTTGTCTTCCTGTAACCTTGCTTTCAGCTGTTCCTGCTTGAGCTTCTCATCAGCGGCCTTTTTGTTCGCTTTCTCGGCTTCTTCAAGAGCCAACCTTTCTTTCTCTTCCTCCGCCGCGAGCTCGGCAAGTTGCTTATCTTTCATAGCCTTCGCCTTCGCTGCTTCTGTCATATTTAATTAGACCGTGTATTTGGAAAGTCAAATGCAAACGTAGTGGCATTGATATCAGATCTTGAATATAGCTAGAAACGTGAGTGTGTCCGTACCCGTGCAATGGTGCTCGTATTTTTTTTGTGGTGCCAGAGAACTAAGAATTCTACAACCAAACTGATAAACTAACTTTCTCAGAAAGTCGTAGACAAACAGCAGTTGACTTAAAGAAGTCGTTCAAGCCACCATTCTCGAGCATTCACTATTTTTTGTACATCCTTCATGAAGCTAAAGCATTGCGGTTAACAAACTATCAATAAGTCCTTTTTTTGGTTGTTCAGCAAATATGCCGCACATTAAGCCGTTCGTATACAAAGAACAAGTGCGTATGGAACTTTGAATTATAACATATCACTGACAGCAATATATTTTGAGCACGTGGCCGAATCTCGATATATTCGAGAACGTATACATACCTTCAGCCATCTGCTTGACCTTTTCCGGATTTCTTTCTTTCCACATGCTCTCGAGGAGTTGCACCATAGCAGCCTTACTATTTCCTATGATTTCTGACAATTTGTATTTGTACTTCACGCTGTGTCTCTGACAGATGCGCGTGGCCAAACGCCACCACCAGTCCTCGTTGACTATTCGGTATTCCATGTCTATCTCTGCAATTGGATCACACTGCTCCACTGCCTCCTCGACGAAGTCCCTGATGAATCAAACACGAAGCAGAAGCACCAATGTGCACATAGTAGATAAGCCACGCGGTATCAATGCCAAATGCATGTGCGACTGCTACAGGCACGTCAGAACTAGAACTTCGTCATGAAAATCATTTACAATTATATATATATACATGAATACATACATATATATATATATACATATATATATATATACATACATACATACAAACAAACATACAAACATACATATAATATATATTTATATATATATATATATATATAGGTGTGTGTATGTGTGTGTGCACATAGTAGATAAGCCACGTGGTATCAATGTCAAATGCGTGTGCGAGAAGGGGAGACGGTTACAGGCAAGTCAGAACTCGAACTATGTCATTTAAATCATAACACTTATATATATAAACATATTCATATACATACACATATATATATATATATGTGTGTGTAGATACCTATATATGTGCATACATAGACACACACGCACACACATATATATATATATATATAATATACATATATGCCTACCTGTACCTATATATACTTAAACATACATATACGCGGTACAAAATTACAGCTTCTACAAAAGCGTGACACTTACAGGAAGATCTTTTCTTGAGGTACGCCAGTGAAGTAGTCGATATGATTGTTTGTATCATTGCTGGATTTGCACGTCGTGTTTGACTTAAATGTTTCCCAAATTTGATCGACCTGTGAATACAACATGGCCAGGATATTAGCATTGCAGATGTAGCTCTACCAAACTTCTAGGAAGACAAGGGCAGGCGACGAAGCAGAGGGGTTTCACAATGCAAAGTGATAAGTGTGGGGTGCACATTGAAGTCAGGCGAGTAAAGAAATCGATAGTGTTACCGTATCAAGATATAATGCCTGATCAATTACTATATGTATACATGAAACCATACGTACCTTGGCAGTGCACGATCCCAAGATGGCTTTGGAGGAAACTGTTTCACCAGGCGTAAAGCGGCGTTTGTTTGAGGCGGGGTTTGGTTGTTGATTGGGTAGCGGGGGTGGTAAAGGCAATTGTGATATGGAGTCAGGTTGGAAGGAAGTAGCCGGGCAAGCCTTGTTCTTCCACTCCACCCTGGGGTTTGGAGATTAGATGAAGGTAATACATAAGCAACCCATAATCCCATATACGTACATTTATTCAGGCTCGATAATAGGCATATACATTGTGAGTGTAATACAGACCTCAGCAGGGAAACGAGAAAGAGATATAGGACTAAGGAAGACTTGACCGTATATTTCTGAAAGTATGCATGTGAATGTAAAATATGTCGATTCTATCCGATAAGCACAAATTTATCTTGAACGTAAAATACAAATATAATGATACACGCCGATATTGTGAGCACAGATATAAACTATGACATACGGAGCTATCAACTCAGATAACTGGATCCAGACAGTGAAAGCCCGCTTTGATGTTAAGCGATCCCACACAAACATACCGAACGCCGATAGCGAAAGTACTATTATATACAAATGCGTCTTCATTCCAGAAATTTATAGCGTGGTAATCAATACTCACAAAAATGGATTAAGCCACACCCACCTTGCAATATGTACCACATATGACCAGTGTGATTCCATGCCCCATACTATAGTATATAATATGCACACAAACGCAGCGAAACCAACGAAAGCCTTTCACTATAAAACATCATCTGTATGTCCTTACCAGTATAGCTCGTTGTCTAGGACTCGTCTCATACACCTGGCCACGTATACACCTGTTGGCGGTGTGTCCTTCATAATGGTGTACACACGTGTAGTCGCCTGTGTGATGCCAGGTGTGAATATATCAGCTACAAGACAGGATACGAGACAAAGCAAACCATCATATGCTGACGATGAGGTGCCAGTCAGGTCAGTTCTATGTTTTATATAATGCATTCGACACTATATTGAGCACAAACTGGAATGTTAGACTAACAGAGGTTCTACTAAACGTCGTCTGAAGCAAATCCACCACGGTGATGTGTACACACGCACATGGGTCAGTAATACTTTAGAATATAAATATATAGCCGACAGGGTACTATTCCTGTTCCGGAACATGCAGAACGCCAGACGCACGCATGCCTACATACATAGAGCGTGTTGAACAAAATGAAAGAGTTGTGCTATCTGAACAACCCACCGACTGTTAGTAGCTGCAAGTACAGAAAATACCTGATAAATACTCTCCACCTGCTCATCCGTTAGTACGTTTTCTTTTTTCCTGAACTTGTCCTCCGGAAGCAGCAGATGATGGAAGATGATCAACGCCTGCGGTCAGTGATACGCGGCACGAAGATGGGTGTTAGGGTCAAATAAAACAACTTTCCAAACTGGCTCCACCATAGACCTTCGACGATGTGATACTGCAAACGCACACCTCAATCATAAATATTTCCCTACGTAGCACACAGATGTGAACAGGCATTCAATCACTCACGTGTGCGACCAGTCCCACCAACCCGACTATGTCAGAAAAGGTCTTAAGGCACCAGGAATATATATATATATATATATATATATATATATATATATATATATATATATATATATATATATATATATATATATATAGTAGTGTACGGTACGGTACGTACGTACGTACGTACGTAACGTAACGTAACGTAACGTAACGTACGTACGTACGT